CCCCCGTTGCCGGGCGGGTGGGGTTCCCCCGCGGTGAGGTCGAGCCGCCAGGCGTGGAGGTTCCCGACGTCATCGCCGCCGACGGCGAGGCCGAGCGCGGGCGCGGCCGCGACGCGGAGCGCGCGATCGGCGCCCGGGACGCCCGGGATGATCCGCTCCAACGTCATCGCGAACCCCCCATCCGCACGGGCGGGGGGATGCACCTTCAGCTGATGCCAGGAGCCGTCCGCGATCGCGGCGAGGACGTGCACGCCGGCGACGACGGTGAACCCCCAAATCGCCCCCCCGGTGCGTTGGTGAACCCACACCGGGAAGAGGGTGTGGCTGTCGAAGATCACCAACTGGCCGGAGAGAAAGGAGGCCACGAAGAAGCGATCCCGCCACGCCTGGGGGAGCCGCCCGGCGCGCTCGCCTTCGCCTTCCCGTGGAGGAATCCCCGCGAGGGAACCCTCCGGCGCCGCCGCGGAGAAGTCGAGGTATTCGAGGTGGGTGATGCTGCGATGGGTACGGCCGCCCGTATGGCGGAGTTGGGTGAAGTGCGGAATGTTCTGGTGGTACTCCACCCGGTAGAGAATCAACGACGCGTTTTCACGCGCGAGGACGATCTCCGTCTCGCTCGGACTGACCGCCAGGCAGGAGATACCGCTGATGTCGGGCGCGATCACCTTCGTCCGGAGAATCAAACCTTCCAGGCCCTCCGATTCGGTGGCAGCGGCGGTGGATGGTTTGGCCTCATCCAACACGCATATATCGCCCCTATCCTCCAGATCCTCTTCGTGCTCGTCAAGCGAAAGAATCAGCGACCGCTCCGCCATATCCTGTGATGAAGCGGCCCCCGCCGATCGGGAACGCTTACGCTTTGAATTGCTCTCCTTGGCCTCCTTCTTCCCCGTTCCAACAGGGCTCTGCGACTCCAACACATCAATCCGGACAGACCGCGGTGTGCAAGCCTGCGATTCGGTCCCCTTCGATTTCCGCTTTCGCACGCTCCCCCCTTTCAGAGAGGGCGTGAGGGATTCCTCCAGGGGGCCTGGCGGCGGTGATTGCTGTGGTAAGGTGGTTTCTTCGTCCACCTGGCTGATAGACCGCGGGGTGAGGGCGACCGTGGCCGACGCCGACGACGGCGGCGTTGCAGACCTCGTTTTTTTCTTAGCTGGCATGTCGTGTTGAGCAGAAGAGCTTCTATTACTTAAAAACGCCTTGTTTATCGCTGGCGATGGTGTGCTGATCACTCTCTTGTTTCGCTCTCAGTTGAACCACGTGTCAACACGGTTAATTCCTCCTCTTTATATTATTCACCTCTGATTAATCAACCGCTTAGATGGATCCAATCAAAATATGAAAGCATGAGAAAAAAACGCAATTACAAAATCAACCAAACGAGGGAAAAAGAAGAAATGAACAATTAAAGCAACAGTAGAGTAATAACTGTAGCTTCTATCATGGTCATTGGTGTCATGCAGAGAAAAAAATATATTGAACATAACATTTACCTAGTTACTTGCCCTCCATGTTGCTATTGCCGTTGGACTTTTCTTTCATGCCCAAATACAGCATTCATATAAATATAAATATATATCTATATATATATATATATATATATATATTCGACACGATGCAAATAAACTTCATATATCAAGTGAAATTTTGTTTAATGATGGCAGAATATGGTGCTATTAGATTTTCTCACCCACCCACCCTCATCCCCCTCCCTCGGCATTGTTTTGTTCTACGCCCTTAATTTCTCAAGCACGTCCAACGGAAGTAAGGGAGCATACATATGCTTTTTCAAATTCCATAGTACCTCCGCCTCAGCGCTTGGGCCCTTGTTTGAACTAGCGGTGGTGGTATTTCGAGTTAGATAAGTGTCCATAGGGCACTCCTCCAAGGCCTGCAAATACGACTTGAAAGATAGCACCGCCACGGATGGGGAGGCCATCCTTTCAGCGGCTTCCGCGGGGGATGATGACGGCGGTGGCAACACCAGCGCCATCTGCACACACCACGAGGCTTTAGGGGAAACGTGGAGGCAACAGTCATTGCCTTCACCTGTGGAAGAACTTGGATCCTCGCGCTTCTCTTCTGATGCGGAAGAAGGCTGGGATTGCTCGAGACTCATGAGATGCCCTCGCAGCTGCTCCACAGCACGTCTGAAACACTTCCCAAAGCGTTGAGTTTCACTAAGCAGATCTGCCTCCGCCGCCGTATCCGTCTCACTGCCCACAGAAATAAAACGAGATAACGCAGCATCCAAGTCGGCATCCGTGCTCGACCCCTCGCCGGTGGATTGATGGGGTCCTGGAAGAGAGCCCACCGTCTGCATCAGCCGTAGCTGGCCGTATCGCTGCACAAACCCACGAACTCGTCTTCCGTTCTCCTCGATGAACGCCTCAACCTCGCAACCAACCGTCGGCAGGTATAGCCACGGTCGAATACACAGGTAAACCACCTCCGGGTTCCCCTGGGAGGTGGGGTCCGCTCTAGTGAGGGCTCTTGAATTTCGATTTTTAAACTCCTCAAAGGCACATCGGAGGCGTTTACTATACCGAATCACCTGCAGCGCCTCTAACACGCTGGTAAAGGCATTGCATTGATTAATGTGGTAGAAAAGGCGCTGGAGGAAGATATCTCGATCCAGTGGCGTTGGGGCACCGTTCGGGGGGAAGGGACAACGCTTGCGCAACCGTGGCAGCCCCTCCTCGCGATCGCAGTGCAAGCTCCAATCCCACGGCGCGCCGCCCGGGAAGCTGAAGCGTAGAAAGATCGCGCCGCCCGATAAAAGCGATGGCGCGCTATGGCGGCAGGCCTCCTCCAGACGGTTTGCCATTTCCCGAAGCATGAGATCATCGCTATCGTCGGAGAGGACATTGTTGCCGCCACCGTTCAAGTACCGCTCCAGATCGTCAATGGAGAAGGAAACAAACGCCGTCGGGAGGTGTTCGATGGCAGAGGAGCGAAGCTGCAGTAGCCGCTCCTCTGCCAACTTGCAGTTCATGAGAAGGGCATCCACGGCCCTGCGCTCCTCGGGGCTTAACCCTCCCGAGCCCTGAACCCCTCCCCCCTCGTAGGCGAGGCGGGGGCGCTTTCGTATGGTTTTCTGATACGCCACGCGATGAATGTGATGGCAAGACGCTCCAAAGGGGCAGTCCACCTTATCTAGCGTATTCACACACCACTTCGGCACCACGCGGCCGCGGTACGTCAGCTCCAACCCGCGCGTGTTCGCGAGATCACTTTTCTGAACCGTCTCCCCCTCGATTACGATGGTTGGGTTGTAGACCGCCTCGACCGGCGGGGGCTTTTCCTTTTCAACAATGCGAAGGCGAAGAGGAGTGGGGGCGGGAAGGGACCTCCCCTCCCCTCCCTCTTTTCCCGCCTCGCCATGCGCGGCTGGCGGATCAGGGATTATCGTCGTCTTGCAGGCCTCTAGGGCCTCCGCCTCGCTCGCGTAGAGCGCGAGGCCGTAACCTTTGGTCTCGAGATGCATCACCAACATCAGCCCGGAGGTGTGATCCGCGAGAAGGCGACGCAGCCGTTCGTAGCGTGGATCTCGATTAGGCCTCACGACGGCCGTTGCCTCCCGCTTGGCGTCGCCAAACCATGGCTGCAGCACGAAATCCGGGATATCGCTGATAAACACAAACGTGCGCATAGCTCAATTAGGGTGCCAAACGTGTAATAGTTGTATGCTGGTTACTGTTATGGGGGTTGATTTATTGGTATCCCTTTTTGTTAGCTTGATGTCTTTGTGCTTGATATAGGTGCCCGGTGCCTACCCCTCAATGCCTTGGCTGTTTCGACACACAACAGCTGACCCCGTGCAAAGCCAAGAAGGTGAAAGAATGAAAAGTAAATAAGCATTGGTTCTATAATAAAGTATTGGTAAATATTGGAAAGGGACAATCGTACACATACACACATACGTACACTATTTTGTTTTGACACTTCGCATCCTCATGGTTTCTATCGCATTCCATTTGAATATTTCCTAGTTAGTATCCTGCCTTGAAGCGATAGCTACTATGGATCAGTCAAAGGATGTTTATTGAAAGAAAGGACAACATAACGCTCTTGCTCACAGCAGCAGTGGCTACCCCATAGCACTTTCCTCATACACAACGTTGACATTTCCAGCTTACGCTCATACATTTGGGGCATGGTCGACGGTGCCTTTACAACGAAGAAGCAGCATGCATGGCTTTCTGGGATGATTCAGAGGAAAATATCGAGACAATATGACGAATGTTGGCATGCTTTTCCTAAAATGGCAACTTTAGGAATTTCATATAACAGCCCTCCGATTTTCTCTTCGACTGCATCCCTAAGGACGTGATTGAGAGGAAAACAGTCGAAGAAGGGATCACCTCATAGTATACTAGCTCTTCTTGATCAATTGTAACTAGTCCTCACCTTGAATCGCTCCCTCAGAGCAGTCCTTTAGATGATGAATGCTTTCATCTAACAAACCCTCGATTCTACCTTTTAAGGACAGCCTCGGAAGCTGAAAGGTACAATAAGTTTTAAAAGGGTACCCACTTTGCTACGATACCTGTGGGAATAGAACAAAACATTCCGAAAAGAGAAGCACTTGAAAATTTCAAGTCCATCTCTATATTTTCTTTTCTTTTTTGTTTCCCGCCCCTTCTCTAACAAGCTAGTACTGAAATTAGGTAGCCTGCTAATCACAATGGCAGCAACAGCCCTCGACTGCACACACACGATGCGCAGAGAACCACTCTCGGAGGTGATGAGCATGCCCGCCATGGGAGCACGCGGTGCACCACGCAAGCGACTGCTCAGCATCCTGCTGATGCAGCGATACCGGCCGCAAGCAAATCGCGCAGCGTAAGGGTTGATTGCTCATGGAAAGGGCAAGCGTCTGCAGTTGAGGTGGCAGTACTAAACGCTGTTCGCCGCGCCTGTTATCACTCCCATCCCTGATGCGCTTGGAAGGGTAAGGCGGGGAGCACGACACCGTGCCGTCTGGGGGATCCGCCACGGGCGTTGCGTTGAGAATCTTGGTGAGAAAACGCACATGCTGCAGGGTTGCGCTGTGCACAGCCCCTGGGAATAGGGGTAGGGCGGCGCTCAAAGATAAACTGGGAGAGTGCGGCAGCGTCGGCAGCGCCGGCGCCGGGATACCGTTTACACTGACCGTATTCGACAGGCTCGACCCCGCGTTCAAACCAGTCCCATCCCCACCACTTTTCGTCCGCCAGCTCGAGCCCCCGGTGCGGGAAAGTGATAGGGAGGCTAAGTACTCTTCGTGAAGTCGCTGGCACGCGACGTCGAACATCGTGCGCTCGACAAAATTCTGCTCGTTGTCTAAAAACGCACGATACGCTTCGGTCCACCAGAGCCAATTATTCCCCTCGCCGTCGTCGGTTTCCGTTTCGTACGCTTCCTCCGTGTTTTTCCCCTCCCCACGGGCTGGCGTGGGATCCTCCAGGGCACCCGCCTGCAAGAGAGGCGTGGAGGAAGTCAGCGGCTGAGATCGGAAGGTGCTCGAGAGGCCCCCCACCACCTCCGGCGGCGGTGGCAGCACGCTGGAGTAGACCTGACTAGGAGGAATGAACACGGAGGCGGGGAGAGGCCGCCCATGATCCCGCGAGAAAGCCACGGAAGGCGAGGCCGATGCGGTGCTCGGCGGGGTGGTGGAGGCTGGATGGAACGAAACCAAGTCCAGCGAGCCGGTATGCATGGAAGGGCAGCACGCCAAACCCCCTTCATACGGCACGCCCCTCACCCCGGCCTCCTCCCTCAAGCCTCCACGCTCACCGCCACCGACAAACCGCTTCGGCAAGACGAGTCGCACCCCAACCCGGGCGTACAGGCAGGCGCCGAGCTGAAAGTCACCCGTGCAATCCACAATCTGCTGCATCTTCGAAAAGGACCGCGGCGAGATCCCGTGTTCGAGCATGAGGGACTGCACGAGGGAGCAGGTCGGTAGCATGTACCGCTGCAATACCTGAATGAGCCGAGGATAATCCGGCTCCAACAGCGAGGCCATCGCCACCCGATCCCATAACGAAAGACGCGTATCGACGTAGATACGGGCGCGGTACAAATGGCTTTCCTTGTTATCTTTACTATCCGCGCAGAGATGCAAAAAAACCGCCAAGAGCCATGGACTGAGCGATTTAAGAAAAGTATGCCGCGCGGTTAGATTGCTGCCGCGAATGAGCCCTACCGTCTGTGCGGGGTAGCGCAGCAGACTCACCATGGAGCTGTACCGCATCGATGATGAAAAGGACGCGTTATGGTAGCTGAGCTCCAGAAGCGCCGCCCCGGTCTCGAAACGGCCATGCAGGACCTGAACCGCCACCTCCCGCTCGAGCTCCTCTTGGGAGTGAAAAACTCTAGGGGCGGTAACGCCATCCGACTTTAAAGATGGACTGGGGAGGCAAGAGGCCGAAGGCAACCAGTCCAGCACCTCCAGGAGGAGTCGTTTGCGTGGATCCACCCGCTCAAAATCGACGCTCCGGGTTGCCTGTGGAGCGCCGTCCTCGGCAACCCCCGACAACTCCTCCTCCATCTCTAGCAGGCTCAAGACGCTGGGGACATCACCAGTGGCCAGCACGACGCCCGCCCGCTCGAGCAGCGCGACGTAGCTGAAGAGCTTTTCAATATCCTTCGTGTGTTGCAGCATCGGATTGTCATCCGGGTTTGCCGCCAAGGCCTGGGTGGAGGGTGGCACCAAGGCACCCCGGTAGACGGCGGGCCTCTTCATAACCTCTAAAATCTGCCGCAACACCACGGCATTCTCCTGCGCGGAAAGTCCAAAGCCGGCGCGCGCGCGCTTGGCGATCTCGCGATCAATGTCTTGGAGAGAAATGATATCCACCGAGTATACGGTAGTGCCCAGGCCGGTAAAAACACTCCCCTCCTCATGCCACGTTGCAATCGCCTCGCATTCGATCGGGATGGACATTATTTCACCGGCTTGATTCAGCCCTACGAGATTCGAGATGGATCCCACACCGATTTGCAGGAGGGGGGATGTGTCTTTTGCACGGCTAACGCCTTCGGTGTAGGCATTCATACGAGAGTCGTAGCGATTTGGTGGTCTTTCCGCGCTCTTCGCGGCGCCGTTCCGTTGCAGACGGTCCGGCTGCAGAGCATACGTCTGGCTTGTCTTCTTTGCGTCGCCGGCGTTGCCACGTGCCCCTTTGGCGGCGAGCACTGCATTCGCTGAACGATGGCCTAGTAAATTCTGTGTTAATTTTGTTTCCTTCGGGGACATGATGGTCGCGGACCTTCGAATGCCACAACTGTTGACACCAATGGGGAAATTAAGCGGGAATGCCGAAGTATCCGATGAACGCGAGAGAGGTGAAATGGGAGGGACGTTCCCTCCCCACCCACACGCGCGAATAGCATATAGATAAGAAATCGAGTCCATCGTCATCCGTGTAAGAAAAAGCGGATCCGTTTGATTGCTGTCGATCTCAGAATCGCCATCTTCTCTTGGAATGTGCCCCCCTCCAGAGCAAGCCTCGCTAGCGCAGTTATCCTGCGAGTGGAAAAGAGCCGCGAAACGCTGTGCAGCATTCGCATAACCCAACCCCCCCCTAGTGTAACGAACACCATCCCGAGGATCCGTTTGATTCGCGGCGGCACGTTGTGATCGATGCTTGGAATTTCCTGAAACCGCTGTCTGCAGCATGATTGGCGAACCCGCGACCTTCCCTCCAGCTTCCTTACCATGACCAGTGGTTCGCACGAGCCCTTGTTTAACCTGCCCGGAGCTGCTGGCCGCGGCGTGGCTGGTCATAGCAATCAAAGGAATCGTTGCCGCGGAAACGTACTCGACATTCAGGAGCGAATGAAGCGGCAACCGCACACGATGCTCCGATGTAAAAGCGTACTTTAGAGAGGGCACTAAGTAATCCTTCGTAGGGTTTGCATCGGAAATGGCACGATCCCCGCCAAGATGACGCAGCACTTTCTTTTCGGACAGCTCTCGTTGTTGAGGAAGATACTGTCGGTGGAGTCGCACGACATACACCACACCTTCCACTACATTACACAACGCCAACTCCAGATCTAAACTGAACTTCCATGAGAAGCAGAAGTAGGCGCCATACTGTTTGGAAGAAATTGGATACAGCCGCTCCTGCACCAGCCGCAGGGCAAAAGTCTCCTTATTGGCCGCACAGCCGTGAGGCATTGCCGCAGAGTCGACGGCGTCACCAACCTCACCCATCCTTCCATTAGACGCCCCGATGGGCCTCGTTTCCGGAGACTGCGCTGGCGATCCGGTCACCGAGCTCGTCAACTCCGCGATCTCGAAGATTCGAAGCAAACAACCCCCATTGAGGCCGTTGGGACTGTCGAAAAGCACCTGCGGGTGGGGATCCTCCCCGGGCGTGGAACCTCGAACGGCTGGAGAAGCCGGTGAGGGGCCATCACAGGGCTTTTCGACAACCCCAACGGCCTGCGGTGGGCCCCCTCGGAGGTGGGCGGGGGTGATATTCCAGCTATACCCCAAGGCCCCGATAATAGGAAGACAAGGGTGGCAATAAAGCAGACTGCAGCCGACGTGGCTGAGCCGGAACGCCGGGCACTCCAGCTGGTGGGTGCTGAAGACGGCGATGGTGCGCGTGCTGCCGACGACGAGGTGAGCATTCGCGGGGAAATAATCGCTCGTGATGAGCGGACCGCTTTCGGGCAGGCAACACCTCGCGACCACGAACATCCGCACCCCATCCCCTTCGCCATGGTAATAAATCCTCGAGACGTGTGAACTCTGATCGACCTGGTTGATGTGTTTGGGGTAGTGGTTGGAGAGCACCACCTCGTAATGGGCCTCGTCACCGATCTCTCCGTACTGTCGTCGTTTGTTCGACGAGATGTTAACCTGATACCATTCAATACGACCACTCATGTAGCCCACAAAAACAAGAGGTTGATTCCGCATGCACGTGATCGTCGAGGGCGCGTCCAACACCGTATCGTGCGGTAAAAGATCACTCTCGAATAACGGTAGGGGTGATGAGGAAGAGGCCGTGTTGGCATGCGGCGCCCTCGTCGCGAAGAGGCTAGGACGATCCCCGACAAACGCAACCCCGTCGGCGGCAGCGTCAGGGGCATCTGAGGGCATAGGGTGCATGAGATGTCGTTGCTGCGCATCCTGCTGGCTGCGCCGCATCAGTTGTTGAAAGGACTCTCGGACAGTTTGGGGGTCCCGCTCCGGTGCGTACACCAAACTCTTGTCACCCAACACAACCAAAGCAAGGACGCCGTTGGAGCTGCCCACACAGGCAAGATCGATTCCAAAGATGGACTGGTTGGCCATGCTAAAGCAAGAGTTTTGCGAATGGAACACCCCCGGAAGCGTGATGGACTTCTGCACACGAACCTTTGCCTTGTCATCCATCCCAGGATAGTTGCTATTTGGCGAGTTATGATTCTGCAGGTGCGACTCACCACTAGTATCGGATTTTGTGGCTTGGAGGATTTTTAAACCTTTCAAAGTGTGTGGGATGTGCTGATAATCTACCGTGAAATACGAAAGGATACCATTGGTGAGCGCACCGAATCCATTGTGGGAATCTGGTTGACAGCAAAAGAACTTCATCCCTATGGACTTTTTTCCCTTTATTTAAAAGTAATCCCTCCGCTACTCCCAACCCTCTAAATCTGCTAACACGATTATGTGGGAAACAAATCGCACTTGGGTCGATAAGTACACACAAATGGAGAAGTTGTGTGTGTATGTGTGTGTAATAAAGAAGAAAGAGTGAACAGAAGAAGAATACGCGTGTTCACATACGTAAGTGAATCAATCTGTAAGCTGCATGCATGGGTGTAAATGTATGGATACTTGTATGAATGGTAATAATTTCGATAGCCCTTGCATTTATCATATTTAATCCCCCTTGAAAAGCAAATTGGGAAAAGGATCCGAAAGAGAACCGTCACAAGATAGGCATGTCACACGCCGTGGCAAATAATCGCGGCTCAGAGCGTTTTACCATCACAACAGTTGCAAGGACAGTTCTCCACCGGGCACTTGGTATGCTTGGCAAACCACGCCTGCATATCGCACCAGTGCCCGCCATGCAAACACACCGTACACCACACGAAGGAGCGCTCCGGCGGGAGCTCCGTCATGCGAGGCTCCATCCGCTCCCCACAGACCACACACATCGGTGTCTGCCCTTGCGTGCACTCCGAGTTCCCGCACGGCATCGGTTGTTTACGGCAGTGCACCGTCTGCGTGACGGCGCCGATGGAAGGGGCCGTGGTGTGCATCGGCTGCCCACAATTGCAGCGCAGCTCCACCCCCCGACGTGGATTCCCCGGCAGGGCGGATTGGAAACCCGGCAGGCGTCCCACCTGCGCGGTCGAGGAGGACCGCAGCGTGCCGAAGGTTTGCTTCATCATGCAACCGAGCGCGCTCCCGGGGGCGGGGAGTTTGCCAAAGCCCGCGATCCCCGGCAGCCCCAACGGCAGCTTCAGGCTGTTCTCCCCGCTCACCGCGAAGAGGCCGTCCGGGGCGCCGTAGCTCGACGCCTCGCCGCGCGCGGTGAGCATCTTGATCGTACTCAGATCGTACTCGCAGCGTTTGACGCCGTAGCCGTGGGCGTTCAGCCGCGCCCGGTAGGCCTCCCGCCAGATGGGGTAGGCAACCCCGCGGGTTTCGCCAAAGGCGGTGATGTACCCGAGCGGCCCCTGCACGTCCGCCGTTTCGTCCACGTAGCGCTGCAACGCGGGACTCTCCGGGGTGGCCTCCTCCACGGTGGCCGTCAACAACAACGAGCAGCGGCCGGGGTAATCCCGCAAAAGCCCCTCCATGGGGCTCGTCGGGGGGTGAACGAGGCCGTCCGCGGCCCCCCTGCGGCGTCGTGGGGCGGAATCGTACTGCTGATCCACAAGGATCCGGAGCGCCCGGATGGTGAGGTCGATATCGGCCGTGGTGTACTTGGGTGGGAGGAGGATTAAAACACCCAGCGCGAGGACATCCGAGAGCGGTAGTCGTGGGTACAGCTCAAGAATCTGAAAATAATACCGCAGGCGATCGGGCGGTCGTGCGCCTTGCGCGACGGGCTTCCCGGGATGCGTCGTCGCGGTCGCCTGCGCTTCCCCCCCACCGGGCTTGACGGCCGGGGTGGCGCTTTTCCGTTGGGCGGTTCGCGAGAGGGCGGCCTCGCCACCCGCCCGCGCGGGCCGCACGAAGGTGTCGATGAAATAAAGCGCCAAGGATAACCAATACGTGCACCCCATCGTGCGCAACCGCACGGACGACATCTCCTCCCTCAACCCCCCAACCGACCGCGGGGCCTCCGACGTCGCGTGCGGGACGGAAAGCGCGGTCCCCACCGCGGACAACTCCAAGGCGATGTTCGGATACAACGGGTGAAAGGAGGCGTAGAGCGCCAACAACTCGGAGGCCTCCTCAAACCGCTCAAGGAGCACCAACACGGCCACCCGACGCTCGATCGCCTCCTGAAGACTGCTGAGGCCGACGCCGTCGCCCTCGATAAAATACAACGCCAGTCCCCCTCGCCGGGACTTTAGGGAGGGCGGCGTCGCGGGATCCCCTTCCTCCGTCGTGGCGGCGCCCGCGCGATGTGGCGGCTCCCGCGTGGTGGGAATAGGGGGGGTCGGGAGCCCGTGGGGGCGCTGCTTTTTTGCCACCCCGCCCGCCTCCACCTCCGCTTGAGAAGCTGAATCTTTCGACCACCCCAACCACCCCATCGCGCGCAACATCAACTCCCGCAAGGAACCGATCGCGGCGCACAACTCCTGAGTGGGCTGCCCTTCCGGCCCCCCGTCCGGCACCATATGCCGCATCAAAGGGGAAAGAAGGGAAGAGCTGGTGGGGAGACGACCGGGTAACCCCACTACACTCCGTCCAAAAGGTCCTGGTATGCTCGTGGCGACATCCCCCCCTCCTTTTTTAGGGGCGCCATCCGTCGCAGAAAGAGGGGTATCGGCGCTGCCCGATCGCCTTCGTTGCTCGCGCTCGGCCGCCAGGAGTTGGAGAAACCCGGGCACCGCCTGCGTTATGGGAACCACCACGGCAGGGGTATCCGACGGGACCTTGGGGCCGCCGCCAACCCCGCCAAAGAGGTGCTCCGCCATGATGAGCCCATAGCGAAAGACGATATAGGCCTCCCGATCGATCCCTTCTTGGAGAAGCAGCTTCAGATTTTTATATGGATCCGCCAAAAAGCCGGTCGAGAGGCGTCCAACCGCGAGGCTGTTGCGATCGATCGTGAAACTCCCACCCATCATGTGAAGAAGAGGAACTCGAAGGCCTTTAAATGGCTGCTGGGCCTCGTGTGAGGCGCCTTTACGTCTGTGCTCCTTCCTTTTATCACTACCACCGCTGTCGGAGTCCGTGCTGCGGTAACCACATCGATGGAAGTGCTCACGACCGCACATTGGCAAAAGGCAGGGGTCGCAGGCATCCACCGAGGCTCGGGACGGTGGGGCAGTGGAACTGATGACTGTGTTGGCGCCCAGCCCTGGACCGGGTATGCTCATGTCTAAATCGTTCTTATCCTCATCCTCATCGTCGCGGTCGTCGTCGTCGTCATCATCCTCGTCCTCCTCCTCATCATCCTCATCCTCATCCTCATCGTCGTCATCGTCATCATCGTCAGCGCCGAGTAATCCTGAGAAACCATCATCATGTAGCGTACCAAGACGACCCCTACGGCGTCCACCTTGGCCGGCTTGCTCAATTGGATCCGGAAAACTATTATTATTTACAACCCCCAGTGGATGGGACTTGGTGGTCCCCCCCGTGGCCTCCCCCCCAACCCCCTTCTGGAGGGTCTCGCTGACAACTGGCATTGCCGTCCACGAGGCGGTTAACTCCGGCGTCGCGCCAAGCGTCATGGCCTGATGGTGATGCTGCATAAGGTGAAACAAACCTTCCTGGCGCCGCGACTCCGTGCGATGGAAGCGATCCATACATTCCACCACAAAAAGGTTCGGCCCCGCGGCGGCGAGGGGGACCTCGCCGAACATGCTCACCACCGTGCCTTTGCGATTAAAGACCTGGGTATACAACTCGCCGTTTTCGCTATTCAGCAGCAGCAGTCTGGGGAGGTCCGTGCAACAGCCCGGCTGGATGAGGTGACCATCCTCGGTCGGCCGGCTGAATCGGCCGGCCTCGGTGGCAGGGGGGGTGGCGGAGCG